CCCGAAAGACAGTTGCATCTGTCAAGTAGGAAAATTAGGTACCACTTTGTGGGGAGGCTAATTTAACTGATTTACGAGGCCATAAAAATCTCCAGGAAGTATGCAAAGAATGAGGAAGCGACAGCTCCCCTGGTGGCCAGAAGCTGGAATGTTAAATAGCCTCTGAGTGTCTGTCTATATATGTTGTGTGTCTATGGCATTGAATGTTTGCCATGTATATGTACATTGTAATCCGCCCTGAGTCCCCTATGCGGTGAGAAGGGCGGAATATAAATACTGTAAATAAATAAATAAAATTGTGACTGTAGTCAGACCTCCACATTCAATCTAGAACTAAATGCCATGCTTACGCTAAAGCAGTAGTTCCCAATTTTTTTTTTTACCAGGGACCACTTGTCCAGGGGCCTCTCTCCAACATTAGTACCAAAAGGGTTATGAATCCATTTTAGTCAACTTTAGATTCGGTTTGTTCCCAATTTTTTTTTTTACCAGGGACCACTTGTCCAGGGGCCTCTCTCCAACATTAGTACCAAAAGGGTTATGAATCCATTTTAGTCAACTTTAGATTCGGTTTGGTTATTTGGGATGCTGATTCAGAAAATCGCATTGGATAGACCATATCAGCTCTAGTTTCTGATCCAGAACATATGCCATTCAGTAGTCGCCATCTAGTCTCCCACAGTAAAACATATTTAATAATCTAGAGCTGATGTGGTCTATCCAATGCAATTTTCTGAATCAGCACCCCAAATAACCCCAGGAACAGGCATAAAACAAAGACACCAAGAAAAAAAATTGGTTGGGCTGTGTTATTATTTGTGGTAGGGAGGAGGAGAAGCAGAAGTCAGGAGGCTTGTTGTCACCTTTCATGGGTAGTCAGCTCTCCCCTCCTGACATCCCCATTGCCTTGGCACTATAAGAGGGTTTCATGAGACCAGTTGCTCTTGTTGCAATGATGTCGTAACGGTGAGGCCGTGGACCATATTTTAGTTCTTGGGGACCACTGGTGGTCCATGGACCGCAGGTTGGGAACCATTGGCTAAAGCCTTTGCCTAAGCATTACCTAATCAGTAGGCATGTGCAATCCATGGTTCTAAGTGGTTCTAAAGTACTTACAAAACTAAAGTTCTGGTTGTGAAAACTAGGGGGTGCTGGTGCTTTGCTTCTACAGTGTTGCTAAAGTTCTGGTGGTGAAAATTTCAGAACTCTAACAAAACTTTCAAAATTTCATTATTATTTCATTATTGGTGATTTTTATGACAGAATCTATTAGGAACTGCCATTTATAATGAACCATGGATTGCACATGCCTACTAATCAGTAGTTCCCAAACTTTTTCAGTCATAGAACCCTCCAAAAGACATTTATTTTTTATAGAACACTAACTCTATCCCTAATTTATTTAATCAAAATATATATTCTGGAGCATTTCACACTTTTTTTCATTTCAGAAGCAACTTGAGAACCTGCAAGTCGCTTCTGGTGTGAGAGAATTGGCCATCTGCAAGGATGTTGCCCAGGGGACGTCTGAATGATTGATATTTTACCATCCTGTGGGAGGCTTCTCGCATGTCTGTCAAGCTTCTAGCATGAGAAACTAGAGCTTGACAGACAGGAGCTTACCCCACTCCCCGGATTTGAACTGCCAACCTGTCGCTCGATCAGTCCTGACAGCACAAGGATTTAATTCATTGCGCCACTGGGGGCTCCACTAATTAAAGTACATTTCCCCATTTCCTATATAACATCTCATTTTTTGAGTAAATTTTACTCTTGGTATTTTATGAACAATATCCTAATATCCCAACTCTGGCATAGATACTGAAAACTGGGAAGCCCTGGCCCGTGAGATCTCCAGCTGGATGTCAGCTGTGACCAGCAGTGCTGCATAATTTGAAGAGGCATGAATGGAGGGTGAAAGAGAGAAACGTGCCAAGAGGAAGGCGCGTCAAGCCAACCCTGACCGAGACCGCCTTCCACCTGGAAACCAATGCCCTCACTGCGGGAGAAGATGCAGATCAAGAATAGGGCTCCACAGTCACCTACGAACCCACAAGAATACTGATCCTGGAAGACTATTGCCTAAGTAAGTAAGTAAGTAAGTAAGTATCCCAAATGTCTTCCATCTCAAAAACTGTATAAGAAAAAAACCAAAACAAAACCAAAATGTGGAATCATCATGAAAAATTGACTACATGTGAATCTAGTAACTGCATACCCAATACCAATAGTTGTAGCTTGAAACAGCTATTATGGAGACTGTGTAAATAAAAAAGTTGACCTTGGGTGGTTTTATTTTAAAATCCATTTTAAATGTGATTTTAAAGATTTTTCTCAGAGACCCTATGATGCTTTCTGCAGAATTCTAGGGTTATGTGAAACACAGTTTGGGAACCGCTGAACTAGATTTCAATTCCCATGCAAAATGAATATAGCTGGGATAAAGCTGACCCAGGAAGCCACGTGGATAGAAAAAGCCCTCTTCTATTAGAGAGAAAAAGCCCAAAACCAATCTAAGTTAACAGGGCTTTGAGAAAGTTGAGAGAGAAACTGGAAGGTGTCCCATTCCTTTGGTTGGATGTGCTGCTCGGGGAATGCGGCTGGAATGCCAGCTGATTGTTCTCCACTGAAAAGAATCAGCAAAGCACTCTGCCCTGGCTTCTATTGATGCTGGAACGGCATGGATTGTGTTTTAATATCTGACCTGATTTCAATTGAGATAAGGCATCCAGGAAGCAGGACTGGGTAAGGAGAACAGCTCTACCTCCACCAGCAGAACTATGTATTGGATCTAAAAATAAACCACATTAGAAGGGAATGTGGGAGGGAAAAGGCTCACCTATCCACACATTGGGTTCTTTTGCATGGACGGTTAACCTCAACTGATCAGATCGCTAGAATCGAGGGAAATAAAATCTGTTTTCCGGAGACTGGGGGGAAAAGAGAAATGAACAGAGTAGAGGGAATGAATAAAGAAAGGGCATTTTCTCCCAGAACACTAGAACTTGGAGTCCTCCATTAAAGTCCATTAGCAGAGCAAGTTTAGGACGCATAATTAACTCATGAAAGGCATTGCCAGAACATGCCGGGATAGACAATAAGACAGATAGAGGACAGGTTTATCAAGGTCTGTTGCTTACTAGCATTGAGAGCCTACAATGGGAGTCCCATGCTACAACTCGCTTAAGACAGGAAGGGAAGTTGCCTTTTTGGGGGGACGACTCTTAGAACCTGTAGACAGTAGACCATTGGCCATACTCCTTGGGTAATATGTATTAAGAAATGTAGTCCAAAAGGGTAAGTTTTATACTCTCTGGGTTGTTGTAGGTTTTTTCGGGCTATATGGCCATGTTCTAGAGGCATTCTCTCCTGACGTTTCGCCTGCATCTATGGCAAGCATCCTCAGATATACTCTCTGCTCTGAGAACAGTACAGTGGGCACACAGCTTTGGACTTGGTCATGTCACAAACTTCTAGTTCCTCAGGATTTAATAAAATTGATTTATTGATTGATTTCATGCGTTGGTAATCTGTCAGTCTCACTTCTGGAGGGGGGAATCAGGGCAGCTTTACAACAGGCAACCCTTAGATGCCAAACAAATACATTAAAATAGACTACTACAATTAAAACAGCAAATAAAAACAGTTATAAACATTCAATTTAAAAGAGTTTCGCTAGTCCAGAATAACAGCGCAAAGTCAGTCCGTTGCCGGTCACATTAAATCATTTTCTTCCCAATTACTACATCTACTGCTCGAATGCTTGATCCCACAGCCAGGTTTTAAGACTTTTATGAAAGACCAGGAGGGAGACGGCACACCTGATTTCGTTGGGGAGGGAGTTCCACAGTCGCGTAGCCACCACTGAGAAGGCCCTGTTTCTCATCCCCACCTGTCACACTTGCGAAGGTGGTGGCACTGGCACAAGGCCTCCCTCGATAATCTTAACATCTTTGATGGTTTATAAAGGGAGATACATTTGGACAGGTAAACTGGGCCGGAACCGTTTAGGGCTTTATAGGCTAAAACCAGCACTTTGAATTGTGCTCGGTAGCATACTGGCAGCCAGTGGAGCTGGTGTAACAGGGAGGTTGTATCAGGCCCATAGCTTGTGGGGGGGGGGGGGCTTGAGGGGCTTCAGCCCCCCCAAAATTCTCAGGGTGGTCCGCAAGGAAGCCTTACTGGTACATTATTTAAACTGTTATGTTTATTCATATCATGATCTGATCACCATGCTCAATATATCCCATATGTGTGGGGGTATTGGGATAAGGATACAAAAGGTTTGCTATGGTAGATCCTGCGCCCCCCCAATCAAACGCAGCCCCCCCCCCCCGGAATCAAAAGCCTGGCTATGGGCCTGGGTTGTATGCTCCCTGTATCCCGGTGAGCAACCTGTCCGGTGAGCAACCTGGCTGCCATCCATTGGACTAACTGAAGCTTTCGAGCAGTCTTCAGAAGCAAACTCATGTAGAGTGTGTTGCAGTAGTCTATTCAGGATGTAACAAGAGCGTGGACTACCGTGGCCAAGTCAGACTTCCCAAGGTACGATCCCAGCTGGCACATAAGTTTTAATTGTGCAAAAGTTCCCCTAGTCACCGCCAAGACCTGGGGTTCCAAGCTCAGCGATGAATCTAGTCCAATCTGAAAACTTATGACAAGAGATTTTTCTTCAGAATCACAAAAGCAATCGCAAAGTAGGACCAGCACAGCTCAATCTACACATGCCCAAGTTTCCATCTCAACTTATTTTTAATTAATAGTGAAAACAGCATTGAAAAAAATCTAAACAACAGAATATTATCTGAAGATAATCAAAAAAGAAGTAAAAACATCCAATTTGCCACTTGAACAGTCTTCTAAATTGAATGTCGCTTGTTTCAAAAATTCACAACCCATATAGTCCAAGTAATCCAATATTACTGAACTGTAACATTTATCACACATCCATTTTCATGGGGTATATCAAATACTTTGCTGTATAGGGCATGCTCACGTACCTGCGAACAACCAGTTTCAGTGTCTTGCAGGAGCCTTTCACCAAAGAGATGGCTTTCTGCCTGGAACTGCTCAGATCCACCTCGTTGATGTTCACCACCTCATCTCCAGGCTGTAGCTTTGAGTTCAGTGAATCTGCTTTCCCTCCTTCTTCAATCTGGGATGGAGAGCATGGGATAAGGGGAGAGAAAGAGACAAAATAAATCAGAGCAATGGTTTTGACATGATTGTCTTTACTCTGTTCTTCCTTCCCATTCAAACAAAATAATGGTACACCCTGTACATTCAGTTCTCATGGGGAACTGAACTCAGGGCTGATGGGCCAGGAGGCTGGTACAAATTCCTGAAATCTGGAAGTCAATGGGGGAATGGAAATGTCACTTCTTAACCTTCTCTTCTCTAAACTAAACATATCTAGCTCCTTAAAGGCATGGCTTCCAGGCCTTTTCACACCTTGATTTCCCTTTGGCGGACATATTTTGGTTGTCAATATCCTTCTTGAACTGTGGACACACTTGCAGGCCCGTAGCCAGGATTTCATTTCGGGGGGGGGGGGGGGGGGAATTTTTTTCGGGGGGGTTTGGGGGGTGGGTTGGGGGGGGGGCGTCTGAGTGAAAGAGGGGCTCTAGCCTAGCAAACCTTTTGTCAGCATTCCCCCACTACCTCTGCTCTGTTGCTCTCTTGCGTTGGTGATCCGCTCCTGCCTGACCAACCTCCCCGTTCACTACTGCCCCAGTCAGCCTCTTTGTCGCGCCACACAGAGCATTGGCGGGGGGGGGCTGCCTCTCTTCAGCCCCCCCCTCCGCCCCCGGTCCGCTTGGCCACCCGTCCCGGTGCGATCCGCGCGGCCGCCCGCGTGGAACCTCTCTTCTCTTGCTCTCGATCCTGGTTCCCCTTTTGGTCTCCCGGGTGGCTGCGTTCCCACCTTCTCCCCGGTGGCCCGCGGCTGGGCTTTTGCGCGTTCCCACGTCCCCCCCCCGGAGGCTGCCCCTTGCCCGTTGCTCTCGCTGCTCTCCTTCTCTTGCTGCCCCTGACTCCCGGTCTTACCGCTTGCCCCTCCCCCTTGTTGCTCATTGGTTTCGCTTGTGGTCACTCAGCCTTTCCCCGTTCTTCCCGCTCGATCATTCATGCTGGCCCATCCGGTGTCCCCCTCTTTCTCCAGGGCCTTCTTTCTTCTGTCCCCGTGGCACTCCCTGCATTCTTTCCTACTTGTGGCTCCCCCCCCCCCCCCCCCGGCTACATGCCTTGGACACAGTGCTCCAGGTGAGATCCGACGAAGGCAGAATCGAGTGGAACTATCACTTCTCTTGATCTAGATCAGTGGTTCCAAACTTTTGGTCTTCCAGGCGTTTTGGACTTGAGTTCCCACAATTCCTAACAGGTGGCAAGCTGGCTGGGATTTCTGAGAGTTAAAGTCCAAAACACCTGGAGGATCAAACATTGGAAAGCTCTGATCTAGATGCTATACTTATATTGATGCAACCTAGAATCCATGGCTCTTAAAGCTGCCACATCACATTGTTGACTCATGTTTAGCTTGTGGTCCACTAAGACATTTAAAGTCTTTACACGCTAGATCCTATTCATTGCTGGCAAATCAGGTGTCACCCATCTTTTATCAGGACATTTCATTTCTTCTGTCAAAGTGGAATACCTTGCATTTCTTCCCTACTCTGTGGCTTATATAACTTAGCTATGCAACTTCTCTCTGATTGAGAATAAACATAAACATAATAATAACAACAGCAGCAGCAGAACTGAAGAGAAACAACTGGAAAAGCTGACACGATATGAGGATTTAAAGATTGAACAGCTTGTAGTCTGTCAAGAAGATCGAGCAGACAGACTACAAGCAGATGCATAACACCGTTGCTCAGATGATTCATTGGAACTTGTGCCACAAATACCATCTGCCTGCAACAAAGAACTGGTGGGATCACAAGCCAGAAAAAGTTACAGAGAATGAAAACGCCAAACTCCTCTGGGACTTCCGAATTCAGACAGACAGAGTTCTGGAGAACAATCCTGACCACACAATCATGTTAAAAAACAAAGTATGGATTGTCGATGTCGCAATCCCAGGTGACAGCAGGATTGCAGAGAAACAACTGGAAACGCTGACACGATATGAGAATTCAAAGATCAAACTGCAAAAACTCTGGCACAAGCTAGTCAAAGTGGTCCCAGTGGTGATCGGCACACTGGGTGAAGTGCCTAAAGACCTTAGCCTGTAAAAACAATAGGTGCTGACAAAATTACCATCTGTCAGCTGCTAAAGGCCACCGTACTCAGATCTGCACGCATTATTCGCTGATACATCACACAGTCCTAGACACTTGGGAAGTGTCTGAAGTGCGATCCAATACAAAAGCAAGCATCGTGGTCTTATTTGCTGTGTACTAATCTTGTTATGTATCTAATAATAATAATAATAATAATAATAAGATATTCAAAGGCTCTGGCTGAAGACCATTCAAACTCCCAGCAATCTAGTTCTCTACTATTTATCTGAATGAGGTAACAGTGAGTTTTAAAATTTCTGTGTTGAACAAAAAAGCCGCACAGACACATTACATCACTTTGACGGCTCCTGTGTGTACATATGTATGCTATCTTTATCTACCTGGATAAAAGGTTTACAGCTCTCCTGTCAAAACCCGTCAGGGCCAGCCCTACCTTATCCATTAGGCTGCCTCAGGCAACACATTTTGTGTTTCAAGGAAGAACAGCAGATTGTTAGTCACTTTGATATTATTGTATTTTCAGTGCCAAGGGTGCTTGTGGGTTTCCTACTTCATACGCCCAATAACTTGGCTGACATTTGGTACTATTTACCTTGACTTTAGGTGAACTGGAGTGGTGCCATTTTGCTCTTCCTTGGACAGAAAATTAGGGCAGGAAATTGACCAAGTCATATATTTTTGTGTTAATTTAACACTCACTTCAGGGTTTAATCTGAGTTGGATTAGAAAATTCATTTGTTAGACCAACCCACGGATTTCTGATATCTTCAAGCTACTGTGTATTATTGCATGCCAAGCGAGACTCTGTTGTGAAAATGTATCTGGATGAAATATTTGCATTTAGGGTGTGGCAGCAACCCAGGGAAACACAATAGTGTGCATATGCAGCCCGGAGCAGATATGATGCACAACTCTACCTTCAAACAATGATTGCAAAGGCAAACAGAAACCCAGTGGCATGCATAAGCAAAGATTGGCTAGAAGACACTGAAACCAGGAAATGGAAACATGAGATTTCAAGAGAAGAAAGGGAAAGAATCGGAGTTAGTCTTTTCATCTCAGATGGTATTATCCAGGGTGTAGTTCCTGCACATCCCTTATTTGACATAACATTTGGTATTAGAGACAGAAAAAATGGAAAACCATAGGGTTATGTTTCTACACCTCAAAAGAAGGAGCAGTTCAACATATGTCAACTAACTATTCATTCAACAAAAGGCAACGGGAGTTCTGTCTGATCTTGAAAGCTAAGCAAGGTCAGACCTTGTTAGAACTTGGATGGGAGACTGCAAATGAACATCAGGTACTATAGGCTATAACAAGCATGGACAAACTGAGATCTGTGGGTCGGACCTGGCCCTTTGGGGTCTCAGGTCCAGTCCATGTCTGTCACGGCTCTCCTCTCAGCATGCAGAAGCAGCAGTTCACGTTCCCTGTGAGGAGGACCGAGGCAGAAACATGTGACTGGGATGAGCTCTCGCCAGCCATGTGTCTTCTCCTCATTCCCTCCTGGGAACGCAGCAGGTTGCCGTCTCCTCAGGCAGAGAAGAGTGCAGAGGGGAAGACAGGCCATTGCCGGAGATATCTCCAGCAACGGTCTGTCCCCTCCTCCTCCTCCTCTCTTCCTGGGAAAGGGTCAGGCTGCTGTATCCCCAGGCAGAGAAGAAAACCAAGTGGGAAACAGGCTGCTGCCAGAGAGGTCTCAGGCAACAGCCTGTCCTCTCCTCCTCTTCTCTGCCTAGGAAATTCTTCCCCAGGAGGAGAAGAGTGTGGAAGGGTAGGCAAGCTGCTGCCAGAGAGATCTCCGGCATCAGCCTGTCTCTTTTCAGCCTGGGAACTTGTGGGGCAGCTCTCTCCCCAGGCTGGAAGGAGAGCCGAGAAAAAGCTCAAAAGCCCCCTTGGTCACCGCCTGCCTCACCCTTCTCCTGGCATCAAGATGAGGCAAGGCCCTCTCCTGATGCCGAGAGATGCACGGTCCGGAGGAGGAAGCAGGGGGCATCCAAGGGTGTTTTAGGCACATCTTGGCCATCACCTGCCAAGGAGACTTTGGAGCACTCTCCGCCGCTGCCTGTCTTGCCCTCCTCTGGACACAAGGATGGGCGAGTGGTCCTGTTCTTATGCAGGGTGGACAGCATGGAGGGCAACCTGAGGATGACCAGCCCCCACCCCTCCCTGCAAGGTCAGCCCCATTCCCACCATGTCTCTTCCTGGGCCTGCCCAGCTCTCCGTCCTGGTCCAGTCCTCCTAGCTGGCCCTGCAGAGCGGCCCCAGGGCAAAACTTTTTGCCCATTCCTGGGCTGTAACCACCTTTGAGTATTCCTTGGCTAAGAAACCCTAAGAAATGTGTGGGGCTTTGCTTATCCAACATACATGGGCCGGCAAAACGTTGGATAAGCGAAAAAGTTGGCTAATAAGGAGGGCTTAAGGAAAAGCCTATTAAATGTCAAATTGCATTATGATTTTACACCAAAACATCATGTTTTACAACCAATCAACAGAAAAAGCAATACACAGTAACATTATTTAGTAATTACTGTATTTAAGGGTGGGCAAACATATGGAATATGAGAATACTAAAAAATATGTCTATCAGAATTAAAGAAAATTACTTCAAAATGATATGGAGGTGGTATCTAACCCCTATTAGATTAAATCAGATTGACAAAAAATATTCAAATCAGTGTTGGAGAGGTTGTCAGGAAATAGGGACGTATCTTCATATGTGGTGGTCATGTGATATTATACAAAAATTTTGGGAAAGCATATTCAAAGAAATAAGAGCAATAATAAAAATAGAGACTGAGATTACACCAAAATTAGCTTTATTACTCATACATGATAATATAATCCCCGTAAAAGAAGAAAAAGAATTGGTTTCTAATTTGATAACAGCAGCTAAATTGTTGATAGCAAA